GCCTCAATCTGTCTGGTGCTTAGTAGGGAATGGGGGAATGGGTTATAGGGACTACCATAAGGGGCCTTAAGGGACTATCATAGGGTTCCATTCCCCCGTTCCCTGCTAAGCACCGGACAGAATATGGAGTAGGCTGAAGTAGGCAGAAGTGTCAATCCGAATGCGTCACCAATCCTGTCTGGAACCCACGGATAGGGCCCGCCAGCATACCAGAGCTGAAGTCATCAAAACCGGAAACTCCAACCCTCGACACCTGACAACTCCGCAGAAAACGTTCATCTTACACTGTAACGGCGATATCCGAAACGTGCTGTACTGTCCCGTAGCAAATGTATGCCGTAGTCCTGCAACCTACCGTCTGCTTCATCATGGAATGCACTCTTCTGTTTGGCTGTTTGTCCTCACATCTTGCCGCATATCCTGACAAACCTGAACGGCACTTTCCACACAATATAGATCATGCCGTACATTCACTATACACTCTACTACGTCACTCCCTTAGCCCTAAGATGCCTTCTTGCCGCCGCCGACTTCGATGTCATCAGCGAAGCGTCGCTCACCCAGGCTGCCTGAAAAGCGGAGCCTGCGACGCTGGAGGAGGGGAGCTGATTCTGTGGCAAGTCCGCACCCAGTTGTCCAGATACATGTCCATTTCTTATTGGCAGTGTCAAGTTGTATGGGATACGTGCAGCATCTTCAGGTGCATGGCGAATACGAGTGGAAGTGTGTTGCAGCTGGAGGCATGTTGAGTCCACCCCCGAGCTGAACATGCTCGGCTGGATGCCTGTCTTCGGCAAGCTACCCAAGATCCGGGAAGGCTCGCCAAAATGCAGCAACTTTTGACACAGATAGCGCATGTCGGGAAAGTGATAGAAAGCAGTGCATCGCCTGTAGCATCCATTCTCTTCGTCGTATTCCTCGGAAAAGGAACAAGCGTGAATCTTGACCACTCGCACGCTCTAGGTATGCTGAACCATGCATTGAATCGCTTTTTTATGTCATGGATCCATGTCAGGCTGGTGCATAAGCCCCCAGCAGGAGCTTCTGTGAGAGTGCGAGACACCGTGCGATCCCAAGGATTGTCGAACCTGGCATTTGCCAAGGCAGCACCGCTTTTTAGCCTGGCCTGGGGCCTGAAGCAACCTGGACCAAGACCATGCGCTTCACAGCACTAGACGATTGGGATCACGAGCAAAGCTGCTACATGCTACTTTGAACTTAACACTAGGCCTTATAGCTGTGTAACGCTCTAACCTACTTCCCACCCTGGGCAAAGAGCCCGGGTCAGAGCATGGCGGGGTGGCTCCGTCGGCGAAAAGCCCACAAGGGCACCGGCGGGCCACTCCAGCGGCCTGGCTCCCAATCCAGAGATGTGGACCGTGATGGGGACACTGCTCCCTCTTAGGAGGGAATGGGGGGAAGGATCCCCATGATAGTCCCTTAAGGCCCCCCCATAGTTGCCGTAGGTCGTAGTCCCAATAACCCATTCCCCCATTCCCCATTAAGATCCAGTCAGACTGCCGTGATTGTGGCTGCGAACAAGATGATGAGGGTAATGAGGATGAATCGCGAAGTTACGTATTAGTCCAATATTGATCAGAGGCCCATGGATACCCTCCACGCAATAAACCCGCCTAAACCCGAAACTCCCGTCAGACCCCAATTCCGCACTCCCACACCCCCAAGAACTGCCCAAAACCCTAAACCCAAACCCTACA